AAGGAAGGAGAGGTCATGTCAGGATGAAGGTGGCAAGTGACGGGGCAAACTTGCCCCCCACACAGCCCACACTGCACCAGCCTTGGGAAGAGATCCACAAGTAATTCAGAGATTAGAAAAAACCTTTCACAAAATTAAGGTGTGAGGTGATTGGAAAACCATGTCTCATAGGGAGAAGCCACAGTGGTTTCACCCTGGGAAATAGAAGCAAAATGTGGTTCAGGAATTTCCCTCTGAACTTAGCTGAACAGAGAGAGAAGTGAATGCCTGAATGCTCCATCCAGGAGAGAAAGAGATGCTGCTTTCATACTTTCAAGTGAATTAGCTGTCCCCCTCTTGCCTGTGGGTGTGGTAGGGAAAGCTCTGTGTGTCTGTATGTGCATTTGAAATATTGAGGATCACCCTATATACCCACTGGTGGTACTCTACAGAGAAAAGGAAACTTTCTGCCATGCTTTTAATACTTATAAACTCTCTGCAGCTCTGCAATGGGACAATGATTATAATCAAATTTCATGCTTCAAGGCTTCAGGGTCAGGAAAAAATAACACCCTCCATGCCACCATCAGTACATGCTCCAAATACCTTAGGGGCCTGACAGGGGAGCCTTTTCATCTTCTATGAGCTCAGGCATGTTGAGGACGTTGGGAACACTCTACCTGTCTGTTCATGTGGAGATGGTTTTACTGCCTGAGGTCATACAAAACATGCTGCTGGGTTTTGGAAAGCAGGTAATATTCAGCCTATCTAAAAGGCAGAAGTTTGATACCAGGTGTCCTGGGATCTGCAGGTGAATTTATCTGGTACTCTGATTTGGACTTAATTTCTGTGAAGGAATTTACAGAAAATAAATTCCAAACTAAAGCTGAAAATATTGTCCTAATTAAGAGGGAGTCACTGTTAATACAATTTTTGGGCTATGCCAATTGAACATTTTTAATATTCTACTTCTGCACTTTATGTTCCACCTTTAGCAAGGCAAAACTCACAATACAACTATAACTGATTTCATAGGTAAAGTGCTTCAAAGAATATACATAAAACCCATGATCTCTGGAACTTATTATCTATTGTTTAATAACATACTGAAAGAAGTTTTAAAGTTTGTGTTTGCAAAATAAATTTGCTTATCCTGCTATAGAGTACTTTCCCCAGTTTTAGTCCCAGTAGCAGTCAATCAGTATCAGTCAATATTAATTGACTAAAATGAAATGGACATGTAATGAAAGGAGTCTTCCCAAATATAATACTGTGCATCTGAGCTGACGATTATGAAAGCAGACATTCAGACCTAGTGATATACAATCTTTCTAGCCCCCTTCTTAACTAAGGAAACAAAAAAACTTCACTCAGTGTGTGCAATTAAGTTTGCAAGGAGAGTAGCAAAGCTGGACCAAAATATAGTGGTTATGCTTTGGTACAAATTGCCCAGCTCTGGGTAAGTATTGTAAATGAATCCCCAGTTTTGCTTGTTCATCAAGTTGCTGTTTAATTTTAGCCTAACTTATCTAATTTTAAAATACATTACTTATTTCAGAGAGGAGAGAAACCTGACTCTACATCTGCAAAGTTTGTAATAAGCCTTCCAAATGGAAAAAAGCTGTTAGCTCAACTGTGCCAGGAAGGAATGGTGTAGGGACTTTCAAGTGGCCATGACTGAGGAGGAGGGAATGAGAAGGAGGGATGGAGAATAATGGCACACTGTGGTGGAAGGCAAGCAAATGATTAGAGTGTATTCTGAGAAAAAATGAAGGATCAGCACCAGGATCCAGTTTAGTGACCAGGCTTGGGGAATGGGTGGGCTCCAAGGTGCAGAGCCGTGAGACACCAGCAGGTCAGGGCACCATCAGGCTATGAGCTGCAGGAGACTGATGACCCTAAAATGCAACACTCCAGAGCACAGGTAATATGAATGAAGAGAGTTGAGAAGGCCTTGACCTGACATGTTACCCACAATGTCTGTTTTCTAGTCTCCCTCGTATGCCTGCAGCAGGTAATGACAGAAGGCACCAAAGCTAGTCGAGAGAATATGATGCTCTAGCCCCAGTGGCAGATGGATATTTTGTTGGGAGACAAGAAGGGAAAACCTCTGGGTGTATCTTCAGGATATAGAAGTGAAGGCTAGAAGAGCAAATGTCTTTCTCATAAGCCTCTGGCTACATGGCTGCAAGTTACACTGTATAATGGTGAGCTCTGTTGAGCAGGAACTACTGGGTAGGGAGAAGAGCTATTTAAACTAAAATACAAAGCTGGTACAGAAATGAAAAAGAATAACACAACTACAAATTAATTTGGGCTGGAAATTAAAAACTCTCTAAGTTTCAGAGAGGCACAGGAGGAACACAGGTAACACATCCAAGCAACTATTGTTGGAATAAAAAACAGTAATTTGGTTTAAAAATACAGCTTTATCATTTTATGAATAGGATTACTTTACCTAATTGAATTTACCTAATTCATAATTATATATGAAAATATAAAAATTAGGCTTCATGGCATACAACCCTATGCAAAAAACCTATTCAGACTGCTAGTTCTTCAAGGTAGCACTGGTGCCACACTTTTTCAGTGTCAATATCAGTGACTGTAGTAGAACTTTCTATATGCTGCTGTATTTAAAAAGGAATAACCCGAGGGGCAGGGAGGAGAATTAAACAGGAAAAAATAAGTGTGAAACTCAGAAAGGTTATTTGATTTGGAGGACATACAGAATCCTGTCTTGGGAGAAGAAGTTGTGACATTTCTGGCACCTCACGGCAGTCAGTTTGTTTGCGGGGGCTGCCCCGGCCGCAGCCTCAGCCGGCTGCTCCATCTGTAAGAAGGAAATGCTTCACTCATGGTTGTTTGGTGCCATCTATGGCCAGAGACTGGCTCCCACACTCTAGGATCCTTTTAGGAAGACAAGCATGCATATGGATGAGTTTCATGAGATCAGCAAAGACACTGATACACAATTCACTTTTATATCTGTCCATGGATATTAATGTCACTTCTCTGCCAGATGTTTGATGCTACATGTGAACTCCTAAAGGCTGTTAGTACCTTCTGGAACGATTAAATACTTTTCAGAGTATTTAAGCCTTTATATGCAAAGCACAGAATATTAATTTGGGGTATGGAGTTAGGAAACTTCATAGGAAGTTAGTAATTTAGTTTCTTTTTTACTGAAAAGAGGAAACACAGCGCTAGAGAAGGTACAGCGTTTGTTTTTCAACACAAGTGATACATTCATTATAGATGTCAGTTGCTGTGTCTTCCCCTTTTTCCTCCCATGCATACTCAAGGACAGCCAGCCTTCAGTGCCACAGCCAGAGACCACTGTGTTGTTTTAGGAGTGCTGTCTGGCCATGCCCGTGGCTTTGCAAAGACAGCTCTCAGATGTAGAAACCACTGAGTGGACAAGCCCATCCCCAGTCGTGCTGCAGTGTCTATGATCTGTGTGGTCTCTTGGCAGGCACTGCTGGCAGTGCTCCCTATTGACTCCTGACCCAGCAGCAGCTCCTCTGAGGAGAACACTCAGTGCTGCTGGCAAGGGCATATGCACAAGCCCAACACTGCCTGGGGACCTTGCCCATCCCAAGGCAGAGGTCTGTGTCTTCTCTCTCCTCTCTCTTGGTTCAGTCCCAGGGTCTGACTATGAATTTGTCAGCAGATGTGAGACCTCCTAAAACACCTGTGGAGAAATGTGCTCTGTAGAGCACATCACAGCTAGGACCAGCCCTAGGTATGTCTAAACAACCTCTTGAAATTGATCTCTCTCCCTCAAAGGCATACAGGGAAGGAGATAAACACCTGCAGATAGAAGTCTTTATATCAAAGTCTACATGTGAGACAACTGTCCAAACACCCACAGCCACTGAGGGAGGACAGGAGTGGGAGGCAGCACCCATACTAAAGCAGCTTGTGCTATTCAAGATGTCCCTGCGCATCTCACTTATACACACAGAGCTGCCACATGCGACAGCTAGACCTGCAGGAGATCCAAACTCTTCTGCAGCAGGAGCTGAGGGCCCAGCAGGATGCCCAAGAGATGTTCAAAAGTCTCTAGATGTCTGTGTATGGACAACAGCAGGTGCTTGAATTCAGATGTATTGTCCTGAGCTGGACCCCAGTGACTGCATTGCCATCTTCTCTGAGCAACCACAAACAGCTTGTGCAGTCTACACTAAACAGATTTCAGAATTTCCTCCAGTTACTCATAATATTGCACCAATAATTTCTACTGATATGACTAATGGCTGCAATGATGGCTAGCCAGTTTAGGTTGTGGGAATTGCTACTGAATTTAAAAGAAGGGTATTTAAACTGGTTATTTAAATGGCCTAATGATTCAAAAATTGTCTACAGATTTGTATCTATAGTTTCACACATGTGATGTTTACCTATGCAGCACATCTCCTGACAACATAGTGTGGTTTCTGATGCAATACTCAAGTGAAGGTGTTGTGTATCTGCATATTGTGTGTGAACCAGAGAAAGGGCATGGAAGATGCATTCCTGTGTTTTGAGTAGGATCAGCTGTGTCACGTTGATGGTTACACTGCTTTAGACTGCACATGAGCTAGAATATTACTAGCCAGGCCTTCAGAATTTGAAAGCCCCTCACTATTCATGACATTTGCTTTGCAAATAAGCTCTAAATTACTTCCCTGGATTTTAGAAAATTATGATACTTAGAAAGAGGTGTGGCTTCCAAGTATTCCAGGATCAGAATGAACCAAATGCAATGAAACAAAGTTAGTTGCCTAAACTGTGTAAGAGATATTTGTGTAATAGAAAGCAATAAATGTAGATCAGGAGTAGGAATAAAAAAAATAATAATAAAAAAGGAAATAAAAAGGAAATTAAAAAAAGGGATGTATATCCACAACACACCATATAAGAAAAGTATATAGAATATTAAAGAGAAAAAAAAGCCAACTGTGAATATACCAAAACTGGGTGCAGGGACACTGAAAGAGAGATTTCAATGCAATGAAGCTGTCAAATGACAAAAAACATTGTAGTACTAGGACCTTTTATTTCAAGGTGAGTAGATGTAACATTACAGCAGCACCTATAAAGACTTTGATGGTTTTTGTAATATCAAAAGTACAGAAAATAGGATTGGATATGGAGCTGTCTTGAGTGTCTGAATTTTGTCAGTGATGGTAAAACTATCCCCTAATAATCTAGTAATCATAGACATTTCTTAAGAAGACTTTTACTCAATTATCTTCTTATTTTCCAATTTAGCCCAGAGGCAGAAGTACAGCTGGACCAGACAGACCTCTCTGACATGCTGTCCTTCTTCTACCACCTGACAGAAAGAAAAAAAAAGCAGAAGAAGGAAAAGAAAGGTGAAAGGAATTTTAAAAATACAAATATTTCCACTGAAGTGAATTTCGGTATGGCTCAACTGGCATTATATTTTTGGATAAGAAGATGAAGAAGCACTGAGATTATGTGAATTCTTTAGATCTTAGGTCATGCCAGAAAAGAGCGAGGCAAAATTCATATGTCCCAGTTCTAACTATCATGAAAAAACAGTGCAACTTCATGCAAATAAAATGTGACAGTGAATCACTGATTGCCTGTCAGTGGAGCGGTCATATAATCTTTGTTCCAGAATGAGGTTGTTACAAACTCAGTTTGGAATTACAGGGTTTTCTGAATGGGAAAGGCAGAGTCAGTAACTGGAACCCATTTATTTATGCTTTTTTTTTCTCTCCATTTTCAAAGATCAAAAGCATAGCATTAATCATTATCGTTTGACTGTTCTGATGGCTTCATTGTATATACTCACTATCAGAAATAGTTGATGTTGAAATCCTTTTACAGGATACTTCACAGCCATTTTGATCAATTGTCTTTTTTGTCTGTAGGTGTGCACTCACCTTGGATATACATCCATACTTCACTGGATTCTGTTCATACCTTAGAGGGACCTCTTGCATGTCATTAACCAGTGCCTCAAAATGCAAATCTAAGTGAAAACAGGAAAATCAAAAGTATTCCTTCAGTATCATCAGAGTATTTCCTGTATTTAACCTTTAATATATATATTTTTTAGACATATTTTTTTTATAGAAAGTTTTCTAGCTCTTCTTCTGGTGGAAGAAGGTAAATATCTCATCAGCCATTAATGAGTAGAGTATGCTGCTGTCATGGTGCTTCCCCCCCACCCCCTCAACAGAGACAGAAAGAAATAGAAAATGTGAAGATTTGTAACATTCAAACGTGTCTTATTAACAGAAACTAGTACACAGCCAGCAGCCTCACTTCTGGCAAGGCACCTAAATGCAGCTATACAAATAAGCCGGTTTCTGAAGTTGAAGCAATAGTCAACCCCACTGAAGCAGAAGAATCTATCTTTTCTCTTGGCTCTTTGACAGAGATGTAGTCATCTCCAGAGCCCAGAATTATCCACTGCTGTTAATCCTGCTTCTCTTCACTGAGAAAGCAGTTGACCTTCAATTTGACCTATCTTTGACAACCTCCCTTGCCTTCAATTATCAAAATTACATCCATTCTTTTTGCAAAATCTGGATCACTAGGATCTCCCTCTCATTTGCTGCTTTTCAAAGTCGCCGATGCAGCTCTGGTTCCCACTGTACACAGGGTTATGTCCCAGAAGAGTTCTATAATTAGAACTGACCACACAGATGTGCTTCAAGAGACTATGCAGCTGAAATGCAGAAAATACTCACTTTAAAAAAAAAAAAAAAAGTTGGTTTCAATTTGCATCATTGCTGCTTTCTGTTGGCAGCTTTTCTTCATGGTACTGCACATCACTCTAACTCCTTTCATTTGAGCAGAGGTAATTAATACCTTTTCTATTATTAAAGCCTTGGGAACAGAAGGTGAAATCCTGCCTTTGTTAAAGTCAGAGGCAGAACTACTGTGAACTTCGGTTCCTTGAGTGTCAGGCCAAAAGGGATCATTAGATTGTCCTGTATATCATTGATATTGATGTTTTTGTCTTGGACTACTGCCTATCCTCCAGATGGCATCCAAGCTGTGACTCCTAAGGGACAGAAAATCCACCGCTATCCTTGGTGGTGACATATTCCTATGATTAGTTACCAGCCCACTAAAAGTCCCTTGAATTTCATCCTGTTAAGCTTACCCAGTTTAAAATTCCAGGCACTGACTTTTTTATAGCTTTCCTTCTCAAACTGAAGAGACTTATCCCACCTATTTTCTCCAGAAAGATACCAATTTAGAGTAATTTAATCTCTCTATAAAATCCTAACATCTACACAAATTAACAACTGTGATTTCCAACCCTTTGCCAGAAATTTTGTTTCTGTGCTTTTTGCCTGCATCCTCCCCTGTATTCTAAAACAATCAAAGCACTCTGTGGTATTTCAATGTCCATCTCATCAGCTCCACCTATAGCATTATCTTCCCACACTTCTGCTGCTTGCAACCCCATTCAGGCACATCCTGTATGGTGCTGGGCTCTCCTGGAGAGCTGCTTGTCTGCTTATCCCAAACACATGGCCATCATAAAGACACAGCTTGAGTACTTTGCTCTCAAGACGGAGTACTTTTGTTCCTTGTATAAGATTGTTTTGGGCTATATCAAAATATATTTTGGTGCAGGTAAACAAGTAGCTCAGACCAATGTGTAGGACAGCCCAGTCCTACAGTATGTTTTGTTTTCCTGGGTAGTACAGCTCTAAAGCCAGGCAGTGATGCTGCACATTTTATATTTGCCATCAGGGCCTTGGTACCTAATCATCACACTCAGGCCAGGGCAAAATAGTGATATTATTAAAGATACCTCACACAAACAATTTTTAAGGGCTTTTCTCCTAATACAATTATGCCATTATTAGTATTTCATAACAACACTTTGTGTTTGATGTTTCTGTTGTAGCATGCTGTTGCACAATACTTCACACTTTCATAGCACCTGAGAATCTGATCCTCTACCAAGAATAATGAGTTGAGCTCCAGAAAACTACCCTGAAGCAGCCCTTGTGCTAGTCCAAGCCTCAAGATGATGAAAGGGAATGACAGCTAGGATAAGGAGTGCCCAAGGTCACTAAGAAAGTCTATGGAAGAACTGATTCTGGAAATAAATTTCCTAATTTCTTGCCTTCAGCTTTCACCACAAGACCATCCTTCTCAAGAACACAGCAGTGATAAGAAACTGAAAAAAAAAAAAAAAGAAAAAAGATAAAAGGTCCTTTTACTAAGTAATTATTTCAATATTTTGCATGAAGATATTCCCATTGATGCACTAGGGAAGGCAGAGTTTGCAAAGTGAGGCTCTTAATAGTTGGGAAATGCATGTGCAACCTGCTCTGTTTGCATTACAGTGTTTTTCTGGAAATTATTCTTTCTCTGCTCTGAATAAGCTGGAAAAAAAAAATGATCTGCAATCAAATAATTAAAGAGGGTTTCAGGGTCATGTATCTGTTCTCATTGTCAGCGTGACTCCTGCTTCATGAGCTCCAGAAGTTATAAAATGTGCACAAATGAGGCAGGGGACTGCAGGCAATTGAATGCTGCCCTGGAGAGATTGATGTTATCCCTGCCTCTGTCATTTTTCATTTTCTTGTGGCCCAATTGGAGACATCTGGGTCTAAATTAGAAAAAGGCTGAACATTCACAGCTGCACTTAAAATTGCTAGCTGCAATTTGAACAGAAAAAAAAAAAAAATCAGGCTCTGAGATTCTAAAATTGGGCATTCTCAAATTTAGATAATACTTGGTAATTCTGTGTTTCACATCTATTCTTCAGGTCTCTCTGTCTCAGGTCCCTGGACATAAAATTATGGGAAGAGTAACCTCAAAGCAGAGTTGTAAGAATACATTAGAAAATATTGGTAAACAGTGATAATATTGCAAGGAGATCATCACAGTAAATCTCATGAGGAGATTAATAATTCAGCAGAGGATTTGAATAATTGTGTTAAAAAATGTGTAAGTAAGGTTTGCTTACTGAAAGTGGAATATTTGATTATTTGATTATTTGCTCCTCAGTGAGGTCTGCCCATCCTTCAGACAAACAAGGCAGGAGCACTGTGGGAAACAGATGTGACTGTGCCATTAGGTATATTACCAACAATTGAGCTGAATTCTGGCTGTTCTTCGAAATTTGGCACTCCCTAACTTTTAAGAGTCTGAATAGCTCTTTAAAAACATCCTTTTATTACATGCCTCTGCAAACTAAATTCTATGTATACTAGTTTTTCAGCATAATTTGGCTGTAATTGCCATATACCCAGTGGTAAATTGCAGCTTCTGTGAACTTGCAATTTATGTGACAAGTACAGGGAATAATATCTAGAGAAGACAAGACAGATTGCTGTTGTGAGCAGACAGAAATACCACGTACAGATAATAATCAATAACTCCCCTTTATTTTAAACATGTATATTTTTGCTGCCTTTCTCTGCTCAGGCTTTTTTACTATGAAAAACACATGCTCCTGCTGCTCCTGAGAAGCAGGTATACATTCCATAAGGAAAAAGCCTTTGGTCTCATGGTGGGAGCACAGGCTGTTGTTAGACACGACATACAAACCACTGACTTCAATTCCACAAGCACTGCCTTGTAACACTGCATTACAGAGCAAGGTGTAAGCTCCTTGCTTGCAAACATGGGGAGTGCCATAACAGGCAAAAATAGGACCTGCTAATTCAAAAGGGATTTTTGAAAAATGATGCATGGATGCTGTATTTCCAAGGGCACACGGTGGAGGGATGCTGCCAACAGCTCACAAGCCCTGTGCTGCTCTTCCTCCACCCTAGGAAAAGCCCTTTTGATGTTTGCCACCACCACCATGATTTTGCCTCTCCTACAATCCCTTCCCATCACCAGAGGGAATTCCTTGGCAGCTTAATGTTGGAGAAACCCCATCCCACTGTCAGAATGCACCAATATTACAAGGTTGGAATTTTCTTCACTGGTAGTCATCAACTTACCCACTGCTCTCCAACTGCTGCTGGAAAATCAGGCTGTGCAACCTCCAGCCACAACAGACCATGGAGTAATATATTGAAGGGATGATGTGTCTGAGGAAAAACCACATTTTGGGTTAATCTTCAAATAACCCAAGCTCCAGTTGATTCTTCTGGTTCCACTGGCTGTCTCTCTTCAACTGCTTTTAGGTACTGACAGCCCCAGCTTCAGTTTGGGATCAGACCTTGCAGACCAACTTCCACAGTGCTAGGGAATAGTGCTGGTACTTTTAACAGTTTATACCTATCCAAATATAATGAGAACTTTTTTCTTTTAAAAACCATTTATTTGTTTTTATCAATACACAAAATTACACAATCTTAAAAATTAGAATCCTGTTATCTATTCAAGCAACAAACCAGACAGTTTAATTCTAGTGCCAGCTTGTAATGAAAGAATCTGGTTTGTATTACTTCTGGTGTAACTTCATACCAGAGATTTTAATAGTTCAGGATTTTTTTTTTTACAGTATGTGTTTTAATTTGGAGAGGAAGGACTTTTTTCCTAGCTTCAGAGAACTTCCAAGGCAGTCAGCCAATATAGAAGGTGTATTTGGAAAATTTCCCTTTGTTCAATTAAGATGGCTGGGAGCAATCCAGATTCAATGCAATGCTTTCTTTAACCAGCTCTCATCAAATTTATTATTCATTTCTTTTAGCCTAGCTTTCAAGTAAAACGGATGAGGATCTTAAACTATGAAAAAACCATTCAGGTGAAGGGGTGACTTCATCTCTCAAAAAGCAGGAGAGCCAAGGTTAAAACTGTCACTACTAGGAGACCTCTACAATATTAAAGAGACACAATGAGAGCAAGCTAAAAATGGTATTTCAGGATTAACTCAGTTTTTTTGTGTGTGTTTGCAGATTTATTACAGAACCAACTCCTACTTATGTTAGGTGACTAATCTCATTGCAATGTAGTAACTTGCATAAGTAAGAAAATAAGACTTAGCCTTTACTGATCGTTAGCTTGCTGAATTAAATTATAGCTTATTTTAAAACTCTTTAAATATACAATACCCTTAACTACTGCACGGATTTATATTTTTGATATTTGGTCCTACCAATGACAGAATGAGTTGGATTTTACAGAAAAAAAATAGCAACATGTGAATCATGTTAAAGAAATATTTCCTGGCATGCTCTGAGCAAGAGAGCAAGAATATAAAATCAGTGTCATATTTAACTGTGGTCCTTGGTCTTACAGATTTGTAATTAAAAAAAAAGAAGGAAAAAAAAAGATTAACTTCTCCCATTTGTGCAGAGATTGGGCTGAGTTAAAGGCTTAGGGTGGTGGATTGTTCCGTAATTGATTTTGATAGTAGAATTAGTGCTATGTCTAGTTGCAGCTTCAAAATCTGTGGCAAGAATGTTAGCTAGCTGGTGATCAAATACCAGTTAGTTTTATTACAGAAACATGGACTGAAATATGTACTTTATTAGTCAAAGGTTAGAACTAAAAAAATATAATATTTTCAGAAGATAGAATATTTATTAAAATTTACACACTGACAGTGAAAACACCCTGTTTTCTTAAAGAACTAAATGCAAGAAATATATGTCTATTTTCCACCAATCAAATGCATCTTGAAGCCACAGAAGGTACTGAACCATAGAGAGAAACATTAAATGAAATTACAGTAATTTTAATTTCTGAAATATTTTGTATTGGCTCTTGATTATGAGAGGGTTGGAACAACCTATGTTGTGATGAACTATGTCTGGCATTCCTAGACAAGTTCAAAAACTGGGGACAGGAAATCTAAACATATTCAGGATGCACTCTTAAATTCAAATTCTAAAACTTTTATTCACATCAAAGAATAGCTTATTACCTTTTTAGCCCCTTAGTCAGTGCTCACGTTCCACAAGAAGGGTCTTGTCAGTAGATACAAACAATGACCTGCATCTTTCCTACCAGTTGCTTCCCTGGTGCCTACACATAAAAAAAATAGTTCTATTTTACATCAAGTGAAGATTTTTTTTTCACCCATTCATCTAAGCTAAGAAAAAGCACTGAGGGCTACTGTGTGAGCACATCTTCATATACTTCCCAGGTTTTGTAGAGCCTTCACAGTCTGTGCAATCATGACCTCTAAAATTTCCACCACGTTACATATGCTTGTCTGTACATTGATGCACATGCACACACACAATCTCTCACTGTGTCTCTTCTGCCAGCCTTGCCAGCTGACAGGGACAGCGCTGCCACTGGGTCTAAGTGTCACCAAACTGGGTACAAGAGTACAGAGTGGCTTCCCTAAATTTTGAAGATAGTTTCTTCTCCTGAGGTAAAACAACCCTGATTTACATTGGATGAAGACCTTAGAGTTGTATATTTCTAGAAAAACCTGTCCTGTAAAAGTTTACTTGCTGAGGGCATGGAATGGTGATATCGAGATGAAACTCTTTACCCATCCTATGGAATTGTATTTACAGGGGGGGCATTAGCTGTGTGACACACAGCTGTGTGAGAGGGAAGCCCCTGAAACATGTATGCAGACAGCACATCATAACTTTCTCTGTTCTAGTATTACTGGTCTTGTAACAGGAGATATAAGCACATTGCACAAATAGGTCAGAAACCCTCCTGACGGTCTCTTCCATGGAAGCAGATACTACTGCAGCCTGCTGGAGGAGCAGATGTCCTGTTCCTTCTCCATCTGTGTCTGCAAAACAGAAGGAATTTCCTTTCCCTTGTCTTTCCCCACCTCTCCCACTCAATTTCAAGGAAGAATATTAAAGCCTATTTACTCAGGATTTGTGGAGAGCTCTAAATTCACCCTCTATAAAATCTTTTTTTTTTTTTTTTCCTCATAAAAGAGGGCTGCAAAGGAGAATGTTCTGAAGTATTTTTCAGTGTCTCAGCAGGTCTCAGATTTTTTGACCTCTGATACAGCCTGGAGCCTTTATTATTGTGAAGACCTGCAGGTGTTCATCCTGCACTTGAGAAGCCTTTGAAACTGTCAGAGATAAGGAATTACTGACACTCTTGAAACCCTGGTACATGGATATAAAAACACTGTACAAAGGCACCAGACAGATTCCTGTATGTTATGTAGTTTGCAGAGCTAATACTTGTCAAGTATCCTAGTCCATTGTCTCTGCTTTGCAGGATTCATTCAGGGAAAACAACAATATTAATGGGGAAGTAAAGGCCACAGAATTTAAATTAAATTGGTGAGGCTAGGACTAACATTCATTTTAGGTCATTTTAGGTGCCCACACTATGGATATTAGTGTGAGAATTCATTACTTGTCTTTCCTTTATTGTCAAGATACCTGCAGGATTCATCTAAACTTTATGAAGATACCTATTTTATGGTAAGAAGGAGTGTAGCTCAGAATTGCCACTTCTTGGCTGGAAAGCAGATAAATAGCTTAGCTCAGTGTCCAAATTTCAACAAATGAATTGCATTCCTAGAGGCAAATCTCCATCTCTTCATACTTTTGGCATTGCTAGCAACATGTACTCTGTCATAACAGTGACCAGTGTGTAAATGAGAACTAGAACCACATGTCACTTTGAAGATTATAGGATACAGAAAATGCAGTCAAAGACAAAGACTTCACCCATTCTGGTTTAGAACTGGAGACCAATGCTTCTGCAATGACCTTATGTTTCACCAGTTGCAGTGGGACATTTTTTTACCCTTTCTTATCTCCAGTAATTATTTTTCTAGGAAAATGTCACATTTTTTTACTATTCCAAGACAATACTTACATGTTAGGTACTGTAAAAAGCATCATGGTATTATCTATTTAGGAAACCTCCTTTTAAAATACTATCTCCAAAGCATCTTCAACTGATTTCAAGCTGAGTATATGTCAACACATCATTTTTAGATCATCAAATGTTAAGTGACTGGTTTTCACTTGTTCCTTGAGTGGGTGCTTAAAGCAGATTCACTGCAGTTTTCATTATTGTTTTAAGAGGGTGCTTGAAGCAGATTGACTGCAGTTTTTGTTATTGTTTTAATTTAGATTTCTTTGCTATGAACTTTATGTTACTTAGACTTGTCCTTTTGGGAAAACAGTAATATAATGGCTGAAATATATCTAAATGCACTCAGAAATATTATCTGAATCTTTATTTGCTACTTATGTTGCATGGAGAACAAAAAAAGTTTAACTATCCATGCTTAAAATGCCCAAGCAAATCACAATCTGAAGATGCATATGCACATGAACAGATATTTTGGCTATGTAATTTCCTGTAAAAGACTAAAACAATTTATTGTTGCCTTGAATTGGACATAAGCCAGAAGCAACTTTACAGTGCTGAGAGATCATGAAGAATCCACGCCTCTAACTGCTTAAAATCAGCAAATCCAGTGCAAACTTCAAGATGGCTTGGTGAGTTTCAGAGGGAATTCTTATTTGTTAACAGCTTCGTGTGTCAGGATTGACAGCAAAGGTTATAATTAAACCTGACTTCCAGACCTGTGAATGCAGACATTTCTGAAAATTTCCATAGACCTCTAAGCAATGCAAACAACAAAATGGTAATAACCCTCCTCCCCCACCACCTCCAACATTACTGTATCTGGTTCATCTGGATTCCTGCACTTATGCTTGATTTTCCTGGAGATTTCTGCCTTTCTTAACCCCACTCTGTCTCACAAGAATCCTGTCATTCTTACAGAGACTTTGTGCTAGGTTTTAAACTTACTGTAACAAAGCCCATAAGACCCAGCTTCTTATTTTACATCTGCATCAAACACATAAAAGGAAAACCAGTCTAAAGTTACCAATTTGTATTCTGTACTTTTATATAGTCTTATATTCTATGCTCTTATAAATCATCTATATGAAAACTTTCTACATAAATAGTGGACCAGAACATGGCTGAATTGCAAAACAATGCAATCAGACATTAACCCTCCAAGGTAAGTAGTGCAGAGAATGTAAGTGTGTAAGGGATGTGTGGGCAAAATTGCCTGCATCTGATTTATTTGGGCAAAAAGGTGTTACCTCATTATCCTTTACTGCTACTGTAAAATGGAAAAAAAGAAAGTTTAAAGAGTTCAGACTTTGTTTTTCCCAGTTTGTGAGCAGTGATATACAGAAGAAACCTTTTTTTTCCCTTCAGGTTTTTTTTTGAGGCAGTTCAATAACATTTCAAGGATTTCTGAGTGCAGTGAAGAACCAGCACACTAAAAAGCAGACTGTGCAGGGATACTCCTGCATTGCCTTGCATCATCCAAACAGTCTAAACACCGAGGTAACCTCTAAAGTTTGAATTAGCTCTACAAACCGCTCTGGCATTTTAAATAAAGGCTTACCACATAATTTAGGCCTAACTTGAACACTACAGCTGAGCTGGGGTCTATTTGATGTGTTGCAGTGACCACTAAGATTCTCTCTGGCTGATACAGTTTAGGTAAACCCTGATGAAGGTCTGTAGGATCCCCATTATTGCTATTCACGGTTAAGACCAGCCATCTTTTCTGCTGAGGACCTGGAAAGAGACAGCAGGATATCCAAATGTTGCTTTTATTCCACTAAAAATACTTGTGGGTAGGTTTCCAGATCATTTATAGGGCAGGACTGGCATGAAAGAGCATTGGCAGCTCAATTATTCTGCTCAGTTATTTGCTTGCCAATCCAGATCCTCAAAAACTACCTTTAATCTTCAAAAATGGATGGTTAAAATTAATAGTGATGTTGACAAGATGCAATGTAAATGAGTTATTCCACTTTATTACATCTATTCCAAAGTCAATATTGGTAATTAGAATGAATATCAAGCATTCTGGATATGAAACCTGCATAATGGATTTGCTGAAGTCTCCAGTGTCAGCCTTGAGAGAGAAGGACCAGTTCACCCCTATTGAAAAATTAATTTATTTAATGATGACTCTACTATTGATGTACATAAAATGTATGCATTTCTGAATGAAAGGTACACACATTCTGTCTTTTCATGAGTAGTTATCAAATAGCTTTACAATCCAGGTGAAATTCTGTGTAAATAAAAAGCAATCTAAGTAAAAAGCAATGTAAGTCTTCATGTTACAGAGAAAAATCTGTTTATTCTATGAATGCTGACTGAAGGGGCATAAGTGCATATGATCAATTATTTGAAAAGACATGTAAATATATTAGCATTATGCAGTGAGCTAGCCTCCCTCTACAGTAGTCCCACTCAAACTCATCAAGATGAAACACCCACAAATACTGAGTGTTCTGCCCTGATCTGCCAAGTCTAACACTGTAAATGCAAAAGAAAAAAAGAGATGCAAAAGAAGGATGAATTTCCAAACTCTCAATTGCTAAGTACAGCAGTAAGGTTTACTGACTGTAATTTACACCTGAAAGCCACATGTATGTTTACCCATGTGCTTATCCATGCTATTTGTACACCAAAATATAAATTGAGCATAACACAATATACATATTTTCTATATTGCACCCTTGCTGCATTTTAATTTTTTTTTCATTCAGCTGCATTTTCCTGACTGTTTTTATACTTAGTGCCTAGAGATTTATTATCAGAATTGTTCCATGTTGAACAAAGACAGTATTTTATTGGTTCTACTCCTTAAGTCTCCCGTGCTGCAAACAGCTTATTATGGAAGGTCTCTAGCAACACCAGCAATGTGCTTCCCTGACACAAAGAGAAGGCAGTGCCTAGGGGTAATAATACTTATGTTCCATACAGAGAAACTGGGAGGTTAAATTAGCATTTGTGATGTACTTGGAGCTCTTTGAATTGAAGACATCATAGAAATGAAGGCTAAAGCAAATCACACTGCAAAGCAAAAATGTCAACAATCAATATTATTCAGTAACAGCCGTAATTTTTCTATTAGCAACACGTAGAAATGAGGCTCCTGCTAGATGTGGATCAGTTATTATTTTAGACTGAAATTTTCCATATAGGCACTTAATTGTATACACAGGGATATAGATAAGTAGCCCAGTAGACATGAC